TTATTTAATAAATAAAAATATTATATAAAAAATAATATAAAAATATTATCTTTTATATCATCTAAATTTTAATCAACAGTTTTTTTCTGTACTCCAACATATTCGTGACACGTGTCTCATAACTTGATCCAATCCTTTGACTGCTTCAGTCAAAGTATGAAATATTGAAATGATTATAACCATCTAGTTGGAATTATTTTTAATTATGCATGTGGACTACGCAATTGGAGGAGCGGCGCCAAGGAGGGTAATGTCGAAGCTTTTGCGTTGTAAATGTTTCCTCAACAGCTTTAATCAAAAATCAAGACCCTAATCAACCTTGTTTAATCTTGAAAAAGGAAAATCCCACTTGTCTTAATGTGGAAGATTAATGTTTTGGTCTAAAGATGAGATTAAAGAACTTTATGACAAGCACAAAGTGATAAGTTAATACTTTTTCTAATGCTGTCTCTAATGTGGGGTAAAGAAACCAAAAATATGATGGCTAAACATATTTCCAAAGGTCCGGAAATTTTGACTACTAATCCTTTCTAACATCCCAATTCCCAACTCAAAATAAGGCGCGGGACTGGAGGACCCTTGCAAATAGTGTCCCCCAACGCAAAGGAGGGTCCCTTCAACATATTATTAGGAACAAGGTTACAGCCCAAAAACTGCTACTACTTAATTTGTTCTGTTTCGTGGCACGAGCCAGAGATGAAGAGCGTTCGAGGCATCATGAAATTACTTTTACCCAAATAATTGTACTCACAAGAGAGGGAAGAAGCTGGAGCGTACATTACCATCTCCAATAACAGTCTGATTTATTGTCTTAATTACTACCTAGGCAAGAGTAGTAATAAACAGAAGCAGTTGGGGATGTCATTCTTGCATACAAGACCAGGATTGAACAGATTGCTAGAAATGAGTCCATCGAATATGTCCAGGTTTTCTGGTTTGGAATTAACAAGTCATATATGATTTTCGTTTATATATATTGTTTCTTCTTGTAAGCATATGCAACTAAATGACTTGCTTTGATGCTTTTAAGGTATATATATATATATTGAAGAATCAGGGAGCTTCAGCAGGTGCTTCAATGGCTCATCCTCACAGTCAAATAGTGTCTCTTCCAATCGCTCCTCCTCCTCTTTCTGCTCGACTTGAAAGTATGAAAGAGTATTTTAGTCAGACAGGAGAATGTTGCTGCTGTGAAGTTCAATCAAAGGAGTATCATTCTTGTCATCACCATAAAATAGATGCCGAGAAGGCAACTCCTAGCACTTACAAATTGATTTCTTTTATTTCAATTTCATACCTATATCTTATTTACACCATCTAGTTTATAGGTTTCATTCATCCCAATTTAATTGATACTACAGATTGAAAATTTTATTGTTAGAATATTT